TGATGAAATTGTATGTTAATTTTTTAAAATTCAATATTAATTTGATGAAATTGATGGTCGATTTGGTACTAATTTGATAAATATTGATTTGGTTGGTGTTGATTTGATAAAATTATATGTGAATTGGAAAAAATTAATATCTATTTGTTTAAATTGAATATTAAATTTATATTAATTTGATGTAATTAAGTTAGCAATGGTAATACGTAAAATAGACACATAAACTCCTCCAGAAACAATTTTCATTGGTTCGATTGTGAATATCATTTTTTGCATTATGCGAGGGATTGATGAGACTCAAGCCCATGTCAAGGTGGTAAGGGAGACTAGGGAAAATTATATTTACATCCTAGACATTTAATTTTACTACACAAACACCACCTCACATTTCAAAAACAATACTAAAACCCCTTGACATTTGAATGCGTGTGACAGCCGCACCCTTCCGTATAACAGACGTCAAAAAAAAAAGTATAGAAAGAAGATAATAGGAGTAATGGACTTAGATCACCTTTTTTTTGCTCATTCTAATTTGTTTTTTGTATTATGGATCTTGGTTTGTCCTTGATTTTCGTATTATTAAATTCGTGTCTGATCCATTAATTTCTTATAAAATTTGTGTCATGTTAATGTGTCGTGGTGTTGGCAGTGGGTTTCAAATTGATAGAGATGGTGGTGTCGAATGTGGGGTGGTGGGGAACTTCGATGTTGGGTATTGGGGACTTTTAGAGAGAGAGAGAGATAGAGGGCGTTGGGTGATGTTTCTCAATTTGCTAATTATTTAACCAGTTAAAATAGGATAAAATAATCTTTTGTTAATACCTCAACGAAATCTATTTATTGGGGTTTCAATGTAGTTTTAAAAATATGAGAGGTGTCCATGTAATAAAGTCAAATGTCAGTGGGCGTCCATATAATTTACCCAACTTTTTTATCAAATTGTCCCTTGAGACCAAAAAAATTAAAAATTTTGGTTTTCTCTTAGCTTTGACTTCCAAATCACATACATGAAATCGAGGCAAAATTAAATTAAAATAATTCAGGTTAATTTGTTTACATAATATCATATAAAATGTTGTAAAATTAAATAATTTTTTTATCGACATAAATATTAACACAATATATACCGAAAATGATATAATTCAAAAATAAAACATCNTTAGCTTTGACTTCCAAATCACATACATGAAATCGAGGCAAAATTAAATTCAAATAATTCAGGTTAATTTGTTTACATAATATCATATAAAATGTTGTAAAATTAAATAATTTTTTTATTGACATAAATATTAACACAATATATACCGAAAATGATATAATTCAAAAATAAAACATCACGACAGGACTAACACCACGCTCTTGCCAAAAGGTAAGCATATCAGTACTTGTGGAAAATTAAAGTAAATTAAGAATACTTAGTGGAGAATTGTGGTAAAATTTAGAATACTTGTCGGAAGCCCTCTTCCCTTTCCAAAAAACAAAAAAACAAAAAAAAAAAGGAATATACTAGAAAAGTGAGATTCTAAAGCGATAGACGATAGACAATAAAAAACAGCCCTTGCCGCGGGAAACGGACCCCCATAGTTTGCTAATCTCAAGATTATATTAGTGAGCAAAATTATGATATTAAAAAATTATTTTTAATACTATATCAATGTTATTATATAAAAAAAGATTAGATTATGATTTAATTTGATGAACTTACGATAAATAGAATTATTTGGAAATGAGGATTGATCCGATCTTTCTGTCTATAATTTGACCCCGTTGAATAGTAATTTAACCCCAAATAAATCATAAATAACTCCTATTTATTTAGAACTTTTGATATAATATTTTTTGGTATACTTATAATTTTTCGATATAATCTTATCAATTTGGCTAGACTTCATGGAAAGTGTGGAGGTGGATCTATTACAAGTTAAAATAGATTAAATATTTAAGAAGAATTTGAAACATGGAAAATTCTTTTCGAAAATTTTTATAAAATAGAAACATAACAATCATGGTCATTCTTGTGAGGGTACGAAACAACACATTGCATTAGACGAGATTTAATCTTCTATCTCATCGTGGATGACCTGTTTTTGACCGAACTAAAAAATTATTCGAAATGCACGCAAGCTAACCTATACGTCTTTGACCGTTAAACCAAAAAAATTATTTAAGAATATCAATGTCCATTAAGCTTAAAAAAAAAAGGCCCAAGTAAATTCAATCTTAACTTGAAAAACATTACTTACCCCAATTCACAAACATTCTCGTTCAGTAATTACCAAAACAAGAAGGAAAAAAAAAATAGAGTTAATTACTAAATGAAAATTTAACAAGGCAAGGCTATTTTGGGTTTTTGACTTTATATAAAGTGTAGAACTATAACTTGTAAATGAAGCCCGTGATCAATATAGAATCTATTATTTAACTCATTTTTCATTTATAATACGCAACATGCAATGACATTGATTAACAATATATGGCNTGTGATAAATATAGAATCTATTATTTAACTCATTTTTCATTTATAATACGCAACATGCATTGTCATTGATTAACAATATATGGCTAAGTTAAAAGGACACTTCCATTGACAATGTGAATTATTTTTTCATTTTATTTTTTGTTTATTCCCCCTTACATTTTTTATTTGGTTGACTTACGCAATCGTACATCTCCAACTTTATTTTTTTAACCAATTTTTAAGAAAAATTTAATTATTTATACACAAAAATATTATGATCATGAAAAAATTCAAAATAAAAACTAATTACGTCTAATCTAAATGTTCACCCTTGATTCTCTCAAAATTTTAGCAACCAAAAGGTTAATGGGTTAGTAACTTTCAGCCAAACACAAAGATTAATTTCTTATGTCTCTCTCTTTGATGGTTTAGTTCTATTATGCCCCCCACGCGGGTTTCGTTTCATTTCGTGCCAATTTGAATATTTTCTCCTCTACTATAAATTCATTATTCAAAATTTATATGATTCCTTAGAGTGGATAATAAACAAAATATCATTGTCAAAGAAAAACCCAAGAAGAAAAAAAAATTGTTGATTCTATGAACTTCACGTAGAAGGATTCACCCTCGAAGTTGAGGAATATTATTTAAAATTGGCGTATTCGGTGTATGAAGATCTCACCACTACGGAGTCTGGAGAGAGTTAAGTGTATGTAAAATTGTCTTTATAAGCACATAAACTATTTACACGACTCAAACTTGTGACTTTCAAGTCATTATAGAGCAACCTTACCGTTGCGTTAAAACCCGTTCTTTTCATAAATATTATCCGTTGATCCTAAATTAATCAAAATCCACACATAATAAGTAAAATCGAGCTAGGCTAACAAAAACTCAAATAAACTTCGTAAATATAATTGTATTACTGAAACTTGATCACACCAATAAAATCTATCTCTATATTAGAAGAATTAAAATAAATCAAACCACAAGGGGTAGCAAGTGAGTGGTAATATAGATGAAATGTAAATTCAAACGTTTTAAATTAAAATATTGACAACCCCTAGTCCTGGTATAGATAACCTACCTTTGATTGGATTGAAGAAAACCGAAGAAGTGATTAGTCGAGTTTTTTGTAAATGGCTTAAACACTTCTAACTGTTAAACAAAAAAAATATTCATCATTAATTTAAATTAATGTAATCCAAAATGCTGTACAACATTAATAGTTCTGTATAGGAGTGGCGATCGAGCTGAGTCGTATTTATGTCTGATCATTTTAGATTCGTATCGAATATTAGTCAATCCTACCTAACTTTTTTAACTAATCATGTCGTGTCGACTTATTTATTTTCGTGTCGTATTCGTGTTGAGCTATATAACCCATGAAAAAAAAAATTAACGCACAATTTTTTTGTCTAAAATTTCATTATCACTTAATCAAACCTATTTGTCTAANGTGAAAAAAAAAAAATTAACGCACAATTTTTTTGTCTAAAATTTCATTATCACTTAATCAAACCTATTTGTCTAAAATTTCANGTTAATTTAAATTAATGTAATCCAAAATGTTGTACAACATTAATAGTTCTGTATAGGAGTGGCGATCGAGCTGGGTCGTATTTATGTCTAATCATTTTAGATTCGTATCGAATATTAGTCAATCCTACCTAACTTTTTTAACTAATCATGTCGTGTCGACTTATTTATTTTCGTGTCGTATTCGTGTTGAGCTATATAACCCATGAAAAAAAAAATTAACGCACAATTTTTTTGTCTAAAATTTCATTATCACTTAATCAAACCTATTTGTCTAAAATTTCATTATCACTTAATCAAACATATGCTCATACTTCTTTTTTAAATTAAAAATTAACTTAATAAATATAATAATAAAAATAAGTAAAAATATTTTTTATAAGAATTAAGTCACTATTTAATAAAATATTAATATTTTATTTTTATAATCCTACTTAAACGTATTAATCGTGTTAATTTTATGTCATTTATATTTGATATAAATATAATTTATTTATTATTGTGTCATATCCGAATTCGTCTCAAGAAATAATAANCTATGCTCATACTTCTTTTTTAAATTAAAAATTAACTTAATAAATAAAATAATAAAAATAAGTAAAAATATTTTTTATAAGAATTAAGTCACTATTTAATAAAATATTAATATTTTATTTTTATAATCCTACTTAAACGTATTAATCGTGTTAATTTTATGTCATTTATATTTGATATAAATATAATTTATTTATTATTGTGTCATATCCGAATTCGTCTCAAGAAATAATAAACTGTAATTTGTTAATTTCGAATCGGTTTTAAGTTGTGTTTTCGTGTTATACAAAAAATTGTTACTCCAGTTCTGTTTGAGAAAAGAGAGAGAGAGAGAGAGAGAGAGAGAGAGAGAGAGAGAGAGAGAAAACCCATATCTGTTCGCATGTGCGCCAGATGTGGTCATACAACCGGACTCATCATAATAACGTGCAACCGCGATCACACCAACTTTGCCTCCATTTCTCTCTCTCTCTCTCTCTCTCTCTCTCTAGTCTGGTTGGCGAGCTTGAAAAGCCAGACTAAAAAGCAAACCAAAGCGACGGTTAAGCTTGAACCACCCCTCAAAAATCACCTTTTATACTCCGCCGAATGAGCTCTAATTACAGCCGGCAACCGTAGAAGCTCAACCGGAATCACGCAAGCCGGAGTTCATACAGAAATGACTCAATCTGTGGTTGCCGATGGAGAAAGTTCCGGCGACAGGACGGTGGTTGTTGGAGTGAAGTTGGACTCTCAGAGTAGAGAGCTGCTCACGTGGGCTCTGGTCAAAGTTGCTCAGCCTGGTGACCGTGTCATTGCTCTTCATGTTCTAAATAACAATGGTAAGGTTTTACAAACACGAACACAGAAGCTTTTTGATTTTCCACTTCTGGGTGGGTATGTTTTTTTTGTTTCTTGGGTGGTTTAGATGGATGGAAGTGTTAATTGATTTATTTGGTGAAACGGGTAGGTATATTTTGCATATGTTTTGACACCCGAGGAAGGGGGAGGGGGAGGGAGAGAGAGAGTTTTGATTTCCTGGATCATCTCAAAATTGATTGTTTGGAGGGTTTGGATAAGTTGAAAGTACTAATTGGTGAATTTGTGGTAATGGGTGTCTGTAGAAATAGTGGATCGTGATGGGAAGTCGTCTCTACTCTCGCTGGTGAAAGCCTTTGACTCTGTCCTTGCTGTCTATGAAGGTTTCTGTAACTTGAAACAGGTCTGTTCTTTTCATTTTGTCTTTCAATTCATCCATTTTGGAGCTCATTGTGTATACCTTAAAGTTTCTGAGAAAACACAGTACGAAAAATCTATATAACTTAGTCTTATAATGGTATTGGGTCCAAAAAGCTGATAAACCTAAAATTCTAAAGGCATTATAATTTTCACTTTTTTTTGCTCAGAAACTGTTAATGGGTGGCTTGAGAAATGTGTCGGTGGGTCTCAACATCCAAACAACTTGAGTAACAGAATAAACAATCTTTCAAAGTTATTTGGGCTGCTGTTTTTTTCTTTCCAAAATCAGAATAATCAACTTAGAACTGCGTTACATTCTTCCTTGATAGTTGCTTAGCAACCAAACTGATGATTATAGAGTTTGGATTTTGATTGATCTGTTGCAGGTGGATCTTAAACTTAAGATCTGCAGAGGTCCATCAATCCGAAAAATTCTAGTTCGAGAAGCGAAATCTTACTTTGCTACTCAGTTTATACTGGGAACTGCTCCAAAACATGCAATCCGGTCATCGGCCTCTGTGGCTAAGTACTGTGCTCGGAAATTATCAAAGGATTGTGCAGTTCTTGCTGTTAATAATGGGAAAATTGTGTTTCATAGAGAAGCTTCTTCTGCCCCTCATGTCAATGGAAAAGGTTTCAACTTGTAATTGATTTTGTAATTGGAAAACAATATATAACTCTAGACTTGGTTCTGATAGAAATCTTACTTCTGTTGTGTTTTTTGGCAGGAACTGAAGATCAGCGCCGGAATGGTTTACTTAATGCAATTCAAAGATCATTGAGTAAGAATGCTAAAGTCCCAAATGATGACAGTGTGTTGAAGCCAAGGGCAATATGTGATCTAGGCAGTTCTGGGAATTTGGAGCTGTTAGTGAAAGCTGGCTCTGATTGCACAGAGAGTGCCTTGAAACAGAATTGTTCCATATGTTCAGGGGACTCTGTTTTTTCTGTTAATTCTTGCGCCCAATCAACAAATAAGTCTTCTGCCAATGATGATGAAGACAACTCTATGGCCATAGTGCCAGTACAGAAGCTAGAGGCTGCATCTAGTTCAATTTCTCTCTTGATAAGAGAATTGCCCGAACTGAAACCTGGTTGGCCACTTCTTCGCCGAGCTATTGTATCCAATCGGCAGGCCTCAGACTGCTCCTCAGTGCGTCAGGTCTCTGTTGTGCAATGGGCAATGCGATTGCCCAGTAGAAATTGTCTGCAAATTACAAACTCAGATCAAGTACAAAGTAGTTGTGATGGTCACCCAGATCAATCTTCTGAACTAGATGGAGAAAATGGTGCAATTGTTCCTGTGGGTAATGAGACTGTGTCTTCTCCATCTTCTCCAAACAGCACTTCAGGAACCTTACCAACAGAATTAGAGGGTCTTCATGAAAAATACTCTGCAACTTGCAGATTGTTTAAGTATCGGGAACTTCTCTCAGCGACATTGAATTTTATGCCTGGTTTGATTCTCTTTCATAACTCCATCCTTGAGGAAACTTTGTATGTTCAATATATTATCCTACTTACTAGTGAACATAATTTTTTGGAAATTCAGGTAATATGATTGGGAAAGGAGGCAGCAGTCAGGTTTATAGAGGTTGCCTTCCTGATGGCAAGGAACTCGCTGTGAAGATCTTAAAACCATCTGAAGATGCATTGAAAGAGTTTGTTTTGGAAATTGAGATTATAACTACTTTACATCACAAAAACATCATCTCACTGTTTGGGTTCTGTTTTGAGGACAACCATCTCCTCTTGGTTTATGATTTCCTTTCAAGAGGAAGCCTTGAAGAGAATCTTCATGGTAGGTTATCACATAGGAATCATTATAGATATACTCACAATGAAGCTGAACATCAAGTTTCTTATTAACTGACTCTTTACCATTTCTCATGGGTGCTCATACAACATCAGGTCATAAGAAGGATCCGCTCTCATTTGGGTGGACTGAGAGATATCGGGTGGCTGTTGGTGTAGCAGAGGCATTGGAGTATCTGCACAGTAGAGGTGCTCAACCTGTGATCCATAGGGACGTAAAATCATCAAATATACTACTATCTGATGATTTTGAGCCACAGGTGGTGTAATTTAACCCTTCAGGTGTCAATTAGATTACAGATTCCATGTTTGATGCTCATGCTGTGTTTTTCTTTTCAGCTCTCTGATTTTGGACTTGCTAAATGGGCATCAACCACCTCGTCATATATAACATGCACGGATGTTGCAGGAACTTTTGGGTTTGTAACTTCAATAACTTCCAGAACCTGTTCAGATTCTTGTTGTAATCAAAAGAGATATAGGAGTCCCTGTAATGTTCTAGGAAGACTCTTTTTTCTTTTCTTTTCTTTTCTTTTTTTTTTGCTGTAGAAGAAAGAGTCTAAATTGACCAAAGGTGAAAAAAGAGTCTTGATCATCTAAGAAAATGTAGTACATTCTGCATTTTTTTATTTTATTACTGGTCATGAAATTATTTAGTGACATACATTTTGGTGCAGGTATTTGGCTCCTGAATATTTCATGTATGGAAAAGTTAATGACAAGATTGATGTCTATGCGTATGGTGTAGTACTTCTTGAGCTTCTTTCCGGAAGAAAACCCATATGCAGTGACTATCCAAAGGGCCAAGAGAGCCTGGTTATGTGGGTATGTCCTCTATGCCCGTTGGTATAGTCAACTTGGAATTTATTTCTTGATCTTGACTTGTAATGAGGAATATATCATGATTTCCAGGCAAAACCAATTGTAAACAGCGGAAAGTTTACCCAATTACTAGATCCAACCTTAGACAGTAACTATGACCGCGAACAAATGGAGAGAATGGTTTTAGCTGCTACTCTCTGTATCAGACGTGCACCACGAGCTCGGCCGCAAATGAGCCTCGTAAGTCATCTTTTATTTCTCTTAGTTAATCCCTCTCTTGTTAACTTTCTGATTCCTTGTCCACATCTGGCACTACTGTAAAAACTGATCTAAGGAATGCTAAGCATTCCCTTAGGTGTTTAAAGCATGCCCACCAATTAAGTTGAATTTCCGTCATTGCATATGGCCAGCTATCTTGGACAACTACCTCACCTAAATTCCGTACAATGGTATCTTGTGCAACTTATCAGTTGAGCTACTGTTGGTTACATCCTGTTTTTTTCTTGGCTACCTTGCCTTCAATCATAAACCATAGATGGCAATGTAATAGTCGTATAAAATTTCCCTTAGTATTTGACAACCCCTCTTTACTTGCATTACTTTTATCCTCTTTATGCTGCCTTGTTGCACAAGGATAATTGAGCTGAGGGCGCAAGAAAGTAGAAGATGTCCATGTTGTGTGGGATTTTTTTTTTTTTTCCTTTGCATTTCCTTTTGCTTTTATAAGACTGTTACATGCCTCCCTCACTCCACTTGATATGGTTCCTCATAGATAATGTATCATCATGGCGATAAGGTCCTCACTTTGACAATGCCTGTGCACTTATATTTTATTTGGTTTTTGGGACACAGACCCATCCTTACTATCTGTATTCTTATTCATTTCAGGTTTTGAAGCTCCTCCAAGGTGATGTTGAAGTAACCAACTGGGCAAGGCTACAAGTGAATGCTTCAGAAGGATCTGATGCAATGCTGCAAGCTAATGCATTGGAAGGGTCTGACGCAGTGGATGATGAAGCCTTTTCACGTTCAAATCTCCAGTCGCATCTTAACCTTGCGTTGCTTGATGTGGAGGAGGTTCTCTCCATCAGCAGCATCGAGCAAAGCATCTCGTTAGAGGACTACTTGCAAGGCAGGTGGAGCCGCTCATCGAGCTTTGACTAACCACATTTCTGGCAAATTGCTATTTTCTGTGGTGTAATTCTTTTGTATATTCAATTTTCATTTTCATTTTCTTTTTTAATCTCCGGTTGGCTTCACCTTTTTCTGGGATGCTTACTGATGGGTCTTGGATGAGAGGTTGTTTGCTGGTGTGCCCTCCTCCTCTCCCTTAGTGGTCTTGACTTAGTTTCCCTGTTTGATGTGCCAGTTTTGTGGTGTTTTTGAGTCAGTTTTCAATTCTCTTTCAAATCTGGATTGAGAACTGTACTTCAATTGTGATTGTATGAAATTGTGTTAAAAGTGAGTACAAGAAACTGTTGTTACCCAAACATCTAAAGAATGTTAATAAAAGCTATGCTTCTGGTTTTGCCTGTGTACTGATTAATCTGTTATTTTACCCTCTGTTTGGGTCGTGGATTTATTGAGGGAAAGGAGGTGGAAACAGGAAAAGGAAGGGAAAGGTAAATTCCATCACATTTTCTCTTAATAGTTAGCGGCTAGAATTGGAATTTATGAATTCCTCAAATTTGATCAGCATTATAATACAGAAGGGAAATGAAGAATTNTTTTTTTTTTTTTCCTTTGCATTTCCTTTTGCTTTTATAAGACTGTTACATGCCTCCCTCACTCCACTTGATATGGTTCCTCATAGATAATGTATCATCATGGCGATAAGGTCCTCACTTTGACAATGCCTGTGCACTTATATTTTATTTGGTTTTTGGGACACAGACCCATCCTTACTATCTGTATTCTTATCATTTCAGGTTTTGAAGCTCCTCCAAGGTGATGTTGAAGTAACCAACTGGGCAAGGCTACAAGTGAATGCTTCAGAAGGATCTGATGCAATGCTGCAAGCTAATGCATTGGAAGGGTCTGACGCAGTGGATGATGAAGCCTTTTCACGTTCAAATCTCCAGTCGCATCTTAACCTTGCGTTGCTTGATGTGGAGGAGGTTCTCTCCATCAGCAGCATCGAGCAAAGCATCTCGTTAGAGGACTACTTGCAAGGCAGGTGGAGCCGCTCATCGAGCTTTGACTAACCACATTTCTGGCAAATTGCTATTTTCTGTGGTGTAATTCTTTTGTATATTCAATTTTCATTTTCATTTTCTTTTTTAATCTCCGGTTGGCTTCACCCTTTTTCTGGGATGCTTACTGATGGGTCTTGGATGAGAGGTTGTTTGCAGGTGTGCCCTCCTCCTCTCCCTTAGTGGTCTTGACTTAGTTTCCCTGTTTGATGTGACAGTTTTGTGGTGTTTTTGAGTCAGTTTTCAATTCTCTTTCAAATCTGGATTGAGAACTGTACTTCAATTGTGATTGTATGAAACTGTGTTAAAAGTGAGTACAAGAAACTGTTGTTACCCAAACATCTAAAGAATGTTAATAAAAGCTATGCTTCTGGTTTTGCCTGTGTACTGATTAATCTGTTATTTTACCCTCTGTTTGGGTCGTGGATTTATTGAGGGAAAGGAGGTGGAAACAGGAAAAGGAAGGGAAAGGTAAATTCCATCATATTTTCTCTTAATAGTTAGCGGCTAGAATTGGAATTTATGAATTCCTCAAATTTGATCAGCATTATAATACAGAAGGGAAATGAAGCATTATATGGAGATTTTTTCTTTTACTTTCCCTCATCTTTTCCCTTCTTGTTTTTCAATGCAGCCAAACAAAAGAAAATGCTCTTTCTTTTACATTTTCTTTTCTCTTCCTGTCTAAATTCATGTGCCAATGGAGCAGTAATGAGCTAACCTAGTCTGTCTAGTTTATAGTAGGCTTTTTAAATAGATCGATTTTGATGTGATTAATCAAATATGAATTGACATTTTGACATAGTATTGAATTTTTAACAAATTCGGGTATGATATGTGGAATATTGAAATCCACAATATATGATAATTGATTTAGACTCGGTCGCACTTCAATTCAATCCAAGTACGAATTGAGATGCCCAAGTTTTTAGGCAATGTTGGGTTATCCTTCCCTTTCTGCTTTTTGTCATGGAATGGCTGCCTGCCTTTAGTCTCTCCATGGAAGCCACTCCTTTTGTTCCATCAAATCTTTTATCAAATGACCACGTTATGATAAATCTCTATCATTTCCAAGTCATCATGTCTCTCACACCACATAAAAAACTGTTGTTAAAGCTATGTATCACCAATAAAGTCCTTTTCATAAGAAATTGACTCATCAATCCCCTCCATCTCACCAACCATTACATATAAATCTTTTATTTTATTCATCCACATATTTTTTTAGCAAGGGCTCTATGAATACTGCCACTTGCATTTAGAATTGGTACTGCAATATATATATATCCCAAGTTCAGATAATCTATATGGTGAGGGACTCAATAGTAAATAGTGAGTTCTAATTGGCTTCATGATAGGTTGATAATTTATCATTAAAGTGCAATTGACATAAAATATAATGGAAAGTATCACAATCCATAGTTCTTAATGGAATACTCTCTTTCTATATCTTTTAAATGGATAATGGACAGTTTTACCCTGAAACTTTTGCCATCCCTTGCTTCATGGATTTCAAAAAGGAAAACTGACTCCAATTTTCATGCCCTACTCACCTAGTAGTTATTATGTGTTTCAATAACTTTTTTACTTTTTTAGAAGTTGAGTTCCCCACCAATAAGCAAAATCATTCACTCAGTGAGGTCCCACTTATAAATAATGAAGTTTACTTATGGGTAAGGGTGGGACTATTCTCGCCAATTAAATCTCATTTTTTATCTCATTTAATCATCTTACATCAAACTATTAAATTCACTCCATCTATACCCATCTCATTTATACTCTTCAATTAAACTATTAAATATATGTCAAAGAAACTGAAACAAAAATAGTAGTTGAAGTGAAATTTCAATGTTGCAAAGTGTTTTGAAATATTTTGATATACTTTCACCGATGCCTTTAGAATATTTTAAGGTGTTTTAAGATATTTTAGTATATTTTGACTAAGGTTATCTGTAATGTTGACTCAAATTTGAGTTAACATTTAAGAAAAAAACTTGATTTGATATAAGATATTTCAATGGATAAACTAAAATTCAAAGTCGGACAAATTCAAATTTAAAGGAAAGTAAAATATGATCATTGGATCTTTTAAAGAGTGAAATTTAACTATTAAAGATTTGAGTAAATATTTGAATTTCCCTTAATTTAAGTAAAAAATTAAGTCTCTCTTCATTTGGTATAGATTTAAGTAAAAGACTTGAACTTATTTTTAATCTGTTTGAACTAAAATTTAAATTTGATTAAGGGTTTGAATAAGGATCGAAGATGCCCTAATATTTTAAAAATAATTATTAATTTTATTAATTTTTATTTTGTTTCTAAAATATTTTTGTAATGAAATAATACACCAAAATAAAATCTTGANTAAGGGTGGGACTATTCTCGCCAATTAAATCTCATTTTTTATCTCATTTAATCATCTTACATCAAACTATTAAATTCACTCCATCTATACCCATCTCATTTATACTCTTCAATTAAACTATTAAATATATGTCAAAGAAACTGAAACAAAAATAGTAGTTGAAGTGAAATTTCAATGTTGCAAAGTGTTTTGAAATATTTTGATATACTTTCACCGATGCCTTTAGAATATTTTAAGGTGTTTTAAGATATTTTAGTATATTTTGACTAAGGTTATCTGTAATGTTGACTCAAATTTGAGTTAACATTTAAGAAAAAAACTTGATTTGATATAAGATATTTCAATGGATAAACTAAAATTCAAAGTCGGACAAATTCAAATTTAAAGGAAAGTAAAATATGATCATTGGATCTTTTAAAGAGTGAAATTTAACTATTAAAGATTTGAGTAAATATTTGAATTTCCCTTAATTTAAGTAAAAAATTAAGTCTCTCTTCATTTGGTATAGATTTAAGTAAAAGACTTGAACTTATTTTTAATCTGTTTGAACTAAAATTTAAATTTGATTAAGGGTTTGAATAAGGATCGAAGATGCCCTAATATTTTAAAAATAATTATTAATTTTATTAATTTTTATTTTGTTTCTAAAATATTTTTGTAATGAAATAATACACCAAAATAAAATCTTGATCATTGTCTATATAGTAGGTTGAAATAAAATTGAATGAATTTAATTTTTAATTACTGAATATAGACGATGGTGGATTTAGTAACTAATGTGGGGTAAACACAGTATCTTGAAGTAAAATGATTAAATAAAGTGGGAAATGAGATTTAAAGGGTCGGAATAGCCCCATCCACAATGAGTCCCACTTGAATTCATCGCAGATGGTGTACTAGAAGAAAAATAGAGAGAAAATATAGGGCTTTCACATTTTGCATCCTAAAAGATGACTCGATTCTCACTTTGCACTCTAAAAGGTTTTTTTTTTATATTACACCATAAATGTCATAAATTGGTTCTAATATGACCCTCGAACTAACATCTATTTCAGATTCCGTTAAAAATTGATGTACATGTCACCCATGTGTTTTACTCTTAAGCAAAAATATAAACTCACAATTAATATCCTTAGGTGGCATGTACATCAATTTTTAACAGAATCTAAAATAGATGTTAGTTTAAGGGTCATATTAAAACTAATTTATAACATACATGGTGCAATATGGAAAAAATAATCTTTTTTGGTACAAAGAGGGAACCAAGACATCTTTTAGGGTAGAAAGTGCGAAAAACCCTTTTTCACAATTCTTCATAGTACACACATTCCTCTAATAAGAACAAGAAATCTTATCCCTAAAATAGAGGACATAAATTCCTTGGTACTTTAGACAAAATTTCAGAAAAAGAAAATCAGCAAGACCCCAAAGAAAAACTACTGCAAAAAACTGAGAAACTGAAAGATTATTCTTCCCAATGGCAGCAACTTCCTCATACATGGCTTCAACAAAATTCTCCATGTTGGATTGGACAAGAACCAAAAGAGAACCGATCAGAAAGAGAACTGTTTTTCCAATTTCAGCTCAACAAACTGAAGTTCAAGAAGAAATCACAGTAAAAGAAAACCAAGGACAAGAGGAAAATAAGCAACAGCAGACAATGAAGCCACCAAGGCCAGTTGAGCCACAATTGAATGTGAAGAGCAAGAACATGAGCAGAGAATATGGAGGCCAGTGGCTCAGCAGCACCACCCGGCACGTCCGGATATTCGCAGCCTNCTTGATCATCTAAGAAAATGTAGTACATTCTGCATTTTTTTATTTTATTACTGGTCATGAAATTATTTAGTGACATACATTTTGGTGCAGGTATTTGGCTCCTGAATATTTCATGTATGGAAAAGTTAATGACAAGATTGATGTCTATGCGTATGGTGTAGTACTTCTTGAGCTTCTTTCCGGAAGAAAACCCATATGCAGTGACTATCCAAAGGGCCAAGAGAGCCTGGTTATGTGGGTATGTCCTCTATGCCCGTTGGTATAGTCAACTTGGAATTTATTTCTTGATCTTGACTTGTAATGAGGAATATATCATGATTTCCAGGCAAAACCAATTGTAAACAGCGGAAAGTTTACCCAATTACTAGATCCAACCTTAGACAGTAACTATGACCGCGAACAAATGGAGAGAATGGTTTTAGCTGCTACTCTCTGTATCAGACGTGCACCACGAGCTCGGCCGCAAATGAGCCTCGTAAGTCATCTTTTATTTCTCTTAGTTAATCCCTCTCTTGTTAACTTTCTGATTCCTTGTCCACATCCGGCACTACTGTAAAAACTGATCTAAGGAATGCTAAGCATTCCCTTAGGTGTTTAAAGCATGCCCACCAATTAAGTTGAATTTCCGTCATTGCATATGGCCAGCTATCTTGGACAACTACCTCACCTAAATTCCGTACAATGGTATCTTGTGCAACTTATCAGTTGAGCTACTGTTGGTTACATCCTGTTTTTTTCTTGGCTACCTTGCCTTCAATCATAAACCATAGATGGCAATGTAATAGTCGTATAAAATTTCCCTTAGTATTTGACAACCCCTCTTTACTTGCATTACTTTTATCCTCTTTATGCTGCCTTGTTGCACAAGGATAATTGAGCTGAGGGCGCAAGAAAGTAGAAGATGTCCATGTTGTGTGGGATTTTTTTTTTTTTTCCTTTGCATTTCCTTTTGCTTTTATAAGACTGTTACATGCCTCCCTCACTCCACTTGATATGGTTCCTCATAGATAATGTATCATCATGGCGATAAGGTCCTCACTTTGACAATGCCTGTGCACTTATATTTTATTTGGTTTTTGGGACACAGACCCATCCTTACTATCTGTATTCTTATCATTTCAGGTTTTGAAGCTCCTCCAAGGTGATGTTGAAGTAACCAACTGGGCAAGGCTACAAGTGAATGCTTCAGAAGGATCTGATGCAATGCTGCAAGCTAATGCATTGGAAGGGTCTGACGCAGTGGATGATGAAGCCTTTTCACGTTCAAATCTCCAGTCGCATCTTAACCTTGCGTTGCTTGATGTGGAGGAGGTTCTCTCCATCAGCAGCATCGAGCAAAGCATCTCGTTAGAGGACTACTTGCAAGGCAGGTGGAGCCGCTCATCGAGCTTTGACTAACCACATTTCTGGCAAATTGCTATTTTCTGTGGTGTAATTCTTTTGTATATTCAATTTTCATTTTCATTTTCTTTTTTAATCTCCGGTTGGCTTCACCTTTTTCTGGGATGCTTACTGATGGGTCTTGGATGAGAGGTTGTTTGCTGGTGTGCCCTCCTCCTCTCCCTTAGTGGTCNATTACTCCAATACATGTTTCTTTGCAATCATTATTCTCTCTTATTTTGTGAATTGTGAGACAATAACACCACATATGGAACCAGGAAGCTCCATTGACGGAGTACACGCTTCGTCTGATTGGTTCAGATATAGAACACTACATNTTTTTCTGGGATGCTTACTGATGGGTCTTGGATGAGAGGTTGTTTGCTGGTGTGCCCTCCTCCTCTCCCTTAGTGGTCTTGACTTAGTTTCCCTGTTTGATGTGCCAGTTTTGTGGTGTTTTTGAGTCAGTTTTCAATTCTCTTTCAAATCTGGATTGAGAACTGTACTTCAATTGTGATTGTATGAAATTGTGTTAAAAGTGAGTACAAGAAACTGTTGTTACCCAAACATCTAAAGAATGTTAATAAAAGCTATGCTTCTGGTTTTGCCTGTGTACTGATTAATCTGTTATTTTACCCTCTGTTTGGGTCGTGGATTTATTGAGGGAAAGGAGGTGGAAACAGGAAAAGGAAGGGAAAGGTAAATTCCATCACATTTTCTCTTAATAGTTAGCGGCTAGAATTGGAATTTATGAATTCCTCAAATTTGATCAGCATTATAATACAGAAGGGAAATGAAGAATTATGTGGAGATTTTTTCTTTTACTTTCCCTCATCTTTTCCCTTCTTGTGTTTCAATGCAGCCAAACAAAAGAAAATGCTCTTTCTTTTACATATTCTTTTCTCTTCCTGTCTAAATTCATGTGCCAATGGAGCAGTAATGAGCTAACCTAGTCTGTCTAGTTTCTAGTAGGCTTTTTAAATAGATCGATTTTGATGTGATTAATCAAATATGAATTGATATTGTGACATAATATCGAATTTTTAATCGATTCGGGTATGATATGTGGAATATTGAAATCCACAATATATGATAATTGATTTAGACTCGGTCGCACTTCAATTCAATCCGAGTACGAATTGAGATGCCCAAGTTTTTAGGCAATGTTGGGTTATCCTTCCCTTTCTGCTTTTGTCATGGAATGGCTGCCTGCCTTTAATCTCTCCATGGAAGCCACTCCTTTTGTTCCATCAAATCTTTTATCAAATGACCACGTTATGATAAATCTCTATCATTTCCAAGTCATCATGTCTCTCACACCACATAAAAAACTGTTGTTAAAGCTATGTATCACCAATAAAGTCCTTTTCATAAGAAATTGACTCATCAATCCCCTCCATCTCACCAACCATTACATATAAATCTTTTATTTTATTCATCCACATATTTTTTTAGCAAGGGCTCTATGAATACTGCCACTTGCATTTAGAATTGGTACTGCAATATATATATATCCCAAGTTCAGATAATCTATATGGTGAGGGACTCAATAGTAAATAGTGAGTTCTAATTGGCTTCATGATAGGTTGATAATTTATCATTAAAGTGCAATTGACATAAAATATAATGGAAAGTATCACAATCCATAGTTCTTAATGGAATACTCTCTTTCTATATCTTTTAAATGGATAATGGACAGTTTTACCCTGAAACTTTTGCCATCCCTTGCTTCATGGATTTCAAAAAGGAAAACTGACTCCAATTTTCATGCCCTACTCACCTAGTAGTTATTATGTGTTTCAATAACTTTTTTACTTTTTTAGAAGTTGAGTTCCCCACCAATAAGCAAAATCATTCACTCAGTGAGGTCCCACTTATAAATAATGAAGTTTACTTATGGGTAAGGGTGGGACTATTCTCGCCAATTAAATCTCATTTTTTATCTCATTTAATCATCTTACATCAAACTATTAAATTCACTCCATCTATACCCATCTCATTTATACTCTTCAATTAAACTATTAAATATATGTCAAAGAAACTGAAACAAAAATAGTAGTTGAAGTGAAATTTCAATGTTGCAAAGTGTTTTGAAATATTTTGATATACTTTCACCGATGCCTTTAGAATATTTTAAGGTGTTTTAAGATATTTTAGTATATTTTGACTAAGGTTATCTGTAATGTTGACTCAAATTTGAGTTAACATTTAAGAAAAAAACTTGATTTGATATAAGATATTTCAATGGATAAACTAAAATTCAAAGTCGGACAAATTCAAATTTAAAGGAAAGTAAAATATGATCATTGGATCTTTTAAAGAGTGAAATTTAACTATTAAAGATTTGAGTAAATATTTGAATTTCCCTTAATTTAAGTAAAAAATTAAGTCTCTCTTCATTTGGTATAGATTTAAGTAAAAGACTTGAACTTATTTTTAATCTGTTTGAACTAAAATTTAAATTTGATTAAGGGTTTGAATAAGGATCGAAGATGCCCTAATATTTTAAAAATAATTATTAATTTTATTAATTTTTATTTTGTTTCTAAAATATTTTTGTAATGAAATAATACACCAAAATAAAATCTTGATCATTGTCTATATAGTAGGTTGAAATAAAATTGAATGAATTTAATTTTTAATTACTGAATATAGACGATGGTGGATTTAGTAACTAATGTGGGGTAAACACAGTATCTTGAAGTAAAATGATTAAATAAAGTGGGAAATGAGATTTAAAGGGTCGGAATAGCCCCATCCACAATGAGTCCCACTTGAATTCATCGCAGATGGTGTACTAGAAGAAAAATAGAGAGAAAATATAGGGCTTTCACATTTTGCATCCTAAAAGATGACTCGATTCTCACTTTGNCCGAGATCCTGGCACCACTTCTAGACATGAGGGGTCTTGCCAAGGTCGGAATGCATCTTCATGGGACAAATTCTGATAACAGACACCAAATATAGGTGTTAAAGGATGCAACTATGTATTCTGAACCAATTAAGAATAGGGAAGTAATAACATACCATAAAAGGATTTGTCTTTGTGCGTGAATGTGTGCAAATATGATTCAGCGTCAATATACAATATAAGTTCATCAAACATCAAAGGAGCCCCCTTTGAAGTTTATTATTCTCTCTCTCACTTGCTTTGTTGAATGACCCCTCTCACAACAAACCATACAACAATTTCTCTTCTTTTGTAAATCAGCAGCAATACAAAATTCTCCTTTTGAAGTAACAATGAAGTAACAATTTAACTTTGTACATAATTGTTTGGATGCAAGAGAAAAGGTTCTCCATCAAAGACAGCTGTCCCAGTAGGAGAAAAAGCTCAACTGAAATTTCTTAGGCCCCGTTTGGTAACATTGAAAAACGAAAAACCAAAACCAAAAACGTCTTTTTTTGGTTTTTGAAAATCGGCCCTAGTTTACAAAACGGTGACAGAAACGAAAAACAAAATCGGTTACCAAACGAATTTTTTTTCTTGTTTTCTCTAAATATCAAACGAAAAACGAAAACCGAAATCGTTACAAAACGGGGCCTTAATTATGCTTCACTTTTCTTTTCTTGTCTTTTCTTGTGTCAGTTTCAAAAGATTCAATGAAGAAGGTATAACCATTCACAAAATAGTTTTGCTAATGCTTTATTGGTAACTCCTCTCTCTCAAACTTAGAAGAGTGAGGGGAGAGATACTACAGATACCCATCCTATTAGCCTGATTATAAACTTAGAAGAGTTATCGTACCATTATTCTTCTCCAATTTATCACTAATTTTCCTCTTTGCTCTACCAGTTGCCACTCTATGAAAAAATTTAGAATTGTTATCTCCTTCCATAATCCACTTAACTCTAGTTTTTTGCCTCATACTTATTTCTTCCTTAAACACCGCCTTCTCAAGTCTATTTCTAAGATCCCTTCTCACCACATCATCAATTCCCCCATCCGTTTCTTTCTTATGAAAAATAATATCATCAATCCTATCCAGAATGACCCTCTTGGTTTCATGAGCATCCCCAAACTACTCTTTGTTCCATATTTTAAATTTTTGCTTCATCCACTCAAGTTTTTTCATACTCTTATATCCCTCTCATCCTTACACCTCACATTCTGACCACCATTCCAAAATCTTGCCCCCAAATCCACTATGCTCCACCCACATACTCTCACATATAAATGGACACGAACCCCACCTAAACTTTGACTCCTTCAGATCAATAGGACAATGGTCCGAATAGTTAAAACCTCTTGCCTAACCTCAGGAAAACAATCCGTCCACCCAACCGAGTAAAAAAACCTATCTAACATTTTACAAACTTGCTTTCTTCTAAAATAGGACCACGTGAACATTCCATTAGCTAAATAAGGGTCCATAAGCTCGATCTCCCTAATGAACATATCGAAATGCCTTACTACTTTTGGTCAATATACCTCATTCAATTTTTTCATCAAATGTCTCATGACATTAAAATCCCCCCAATACACCATCAAGGGCTACACACCCCCAAACAGACTTGTCCATTCTTTCCATAATCGTGATCTAAGCAGAGTATTTGGGCCATACAACCCAATCAACTACCAATCATCCCCATTCTTATGCCTAATCTTAAGAGAGATGGAAAAATCACCCTCAATATTGTCCTCCACAACAATGGATCTCTCATCCTCATTAATGACTACCCCACCCGAACTGCCTATAGATAGTAAAAATAAATAAATAAATCTAAACCTCATTCCCCACACTCTCTTGACAATTCTTCTATCAATAATTTTCATCCTAGTCTCCAACAATATAACAATCTCTGGCCCCACTCTATTCAGCAAATCCTTTATTGAAACTCTTTTCCTCCAAGATCCTAACCTTCTAATATTCCAACTAACAATCTTCATAACAAACCATCTCACCCTCCCCAATCCAACTGCTCCCAGGCTTCATAATTAATTCCTGACTAAAAATTCTTTAACTCTTTAACACTCTTCCTCTTGCTCTTCCTCACACTCCTCACATCTCTCATCT